TCTACTATAAGTAGTAATAATCATTTGGATCAGCGCCATCTAGCGGTCGTGATTTTTTTGGCCAAAAATTGCTTCTGAAATTCTGAAGGAGAGCTTTAGGCAGCTTAGCCTTAGAGCCATTTAATTACTTATAAACCAGCCGCAACTTATATATGAGATACAAAATAAAAAGTTTACGATGTCTGTGCTGTTTGCGGCAAGTTTACAATTTATCTTCTACCCGAATATCGACTTTTTTAATATTTACACTTTCGGGTAATAGGTAAATTGTAAACTTGCCGCAAATAACACAAACAATGTTAACTTTTGATTTTGTATCTTTTAAATAAGTTGCGGCTGGTTTATAAGTAATTAAATGGCTCTAAGGCTAAGCTGCCTAAAGCTCTCCTTCAGAATTTCAGAAGCAATTTTTGGCCAAAAAAATCACGACCGCTAGATGGCGCTGATGCAAATGATTATTACTACTTATATAGTAGAGCCATTTAATTAATAATAAACCAGCCGCAACTTCGTGTATAGATATGAAATAAAAAGTTTACATCGTTTGTGCTGCTTGCGGCAAGTTTGCAATGTATCTTATACACGAATATCGACTTTCTATATATTTATACTTTAAGGTAATAGATACATTGTAAACTGGCCGCTAACAGCACAGACAACGTTCACTATTTATTTTGTATTTTATTGATAAGTTGCGGCTGGTTTATAACTAATTAAATGGCTCTAGGGCTTAACTGCCTAAAGCTCTTCTTCAGAATTTTAGAAGCAATTTTTGGCCAAAAAAATTACGACCGCTAGATGGCGCTGATCCATATAATTATTGCTCTACTACTACTACTGATTGTAGAGCCATTTAATCAATTATAAACCAGCCGCAACTAATTTTATAGATACGAAATATAAATTTTAAAATTTTGTGCTGTGAGCGGGTTTATTTTTTACAAAAAAATCGACCTCAAAAAGTATTAATACTCTAGTTATTTTATATGGCTTATAAAATCGACCATGTGTAAATTACAATACCTTAGACCTTTTACCACTAACTCATTGAAGTACAGCCCTTTAACTTAATAGTTCCAATAAACAGTTAACTTACGGTGCTTTCAGTGCAATCTATTTGAATGAGAAGGCGAATGATCCTTCATCTCTCTCGCAGCCGTGCATTCAAATAGATTGGAGAAAGTAAGTATTGGCGTTGCGTCTGAACGCACCCTTAGTGATTATACACATTATACTTACTAGTGACCCAACTCGTTGCACAATTTTTTGATGTGTTGCAAAATGTGCGTAACCAAGAATTGTAATTTTAATGGAAATGATACATGAATAAAACAAAATTCAATTTTCTACAAGCACATCTGAGATATAACTTGACTTAAGTACTACCTTGAAAAAATGAAATGCGAAAGCGAAAAGATATGTTACAACTTAACATAATGGTTTTTTTATAACATAATATGTTTCAACTGATTGCGATAATGAATATTTTATCAAACAATATCCAATTTTTCGTGCTGTATAAGTAAAAAGTTCAATAATTGTTGGCAAAAGGTTTGTCATTTTTGTCGCACGCGCAAACATCTAATAAACAAATCGGTTATCTGGTACATAGTACATTTAACTGTGTATTGTAGTGTAGGTGAATATTAGTTTATACAGTGCATATTTCGGACGTTGCTAGCAGATAACATGGTTTTTTAAGGGCGAAATCATCTTAAGTAAATTCTTCGATCATCAATTCTGGTACTCATTAAGTCACTGAAATGGTGTTAATTTAAATAATTGTTAGATTATTACAGTGTCAACAATAAAATAAGTAGACTAGGCAAGGGGGTGTCATGCGCGCGCTTCGTGCTGCTGCTGTGTCGTTTGTCGTTTCGGGGGGGAGACGATTATTGTTTTTTCACGACCCTGATAATTTTGTGCTAGAAAGGGACGTTTTCTCGCCGACTTGCAGTTTTTATTGCAAAGATTTCAAATTTTCAGTGTTCTTCATAGTAAATAAAACGAAATATGGGCGCGGTTCATGCGAAGGTATAACTTATTGGTGATTTGGTGATGTTGTATAACCTCCCAAGGCGATATGGATATTATTTATATTCTTGGAATCTATCTCTTTTCCTCTCCCTTTTCGATCTGTCGGCCTACTTATGCATTTAGCACGTGAACCTAATGTAATGATTGATAAAAAAATTAATTATAGGTACTTAGTGTGCATTGCTTGAACAGAGTTTTTCGAGATTAAATATATTGTTGTGCTTCATATTGATATTGGTTTCGTGATTTATACATGGATTTGTGACCAAAATGAGTTCTAATCTCTTTGCCTTCTCCCTTGTTCGACTTTTTTTAGTGGCGCTGTTTTTTTTATTGTTTAATTAAAAATTGTATGTTGCATTAGTTATGCGGTTTCTTGGCAAGAGAGAGTAGTTCGGATGAGCTGTTAGTTAACTTCTGTTGTCAAAAGTCGTGCTCATGATATACAATTTTTTTGTTTGTTGGCCTAATGACAAGTAAAATTTGTTTAGTTTAGTCAAGTTATTATTACATTAACGATTTTTAGTATTTTTCATTTTTGGCAAAGTTTAAGTTTCCAGAGGTCAAAGATCATTGACAGTATTCACCTTAATCCCTCATTTTAATGTTGAAGATTTATTTTTTTTGTAATATCTTGAATATTTTGTGTTCAGAAAAATTCATAACAAATAACGAATTAATTATTTTTTAGTTTTGGTAGATGTTTTGCCAAAATGTATCAGCTTTTATAACTGTAACTGCAATTACATAATACTACCCATTGCCCATAGTATATGTGATGTATCAACAAACAATTTTTTTAATTCAAGGCAGCAAGGTGTTTAAAAATGTGATTTCTGGCATTATTTAAAAGTAAACAAAAAAAATTATTTGTGTTTTATACAGGGGGTTCCCTTAAACAATTTAAAATTAAGTTTTTTGTTCGTAATTCAAAAAAATAATTTGAAATTTTTTAATACTTAGGAGCCTGATACGATAAAAAATTTCGAAGTGACACAGCCAAATCACACAATGAGTAACGAATCAGAAATTCCTAAGGACGATGATGTAAGAGTTGATAGTTTAGAACTTTAATGTACTAAAATTATTAATAAAAACTACAATACATTGTTTCGATTTTTTTATGTGTAGACTTCATTTGGTAAGCAGGCATTCTCAGAAAATCAACAAACAAACAAAGTGAAACCAGTCGATCTGAAAAATATAAAAGTAAATATGCCACATGGTTTTTGTTGCGATAATAAATATAAGTTATAAAGTTGATATTCTTTTTTAGGCTAGAGTTGATAAGGTTCACATAGATGGACTCAATAGGACTAAAGATGATGTTGTGCAGGCGCAAGTCAAGGAACTATTCAATGCTAAAGATTTTCAAGACATTATTGTTAATGCACATGCAGTACGAGGAAAATTGGAGTCATTAGGATGTTTTAAAACTATTGGAGTTTATATAGACACTAGTCAAGGCCTTGATTCTACACCAGAAGGAGTAGAAGTTGGTTTAATTTTATAATTATTAATACTAACTAGTTAATCTAAATTAAAAAAATAATTTTCTAACGATGTTTACATTTTTACAGGTCACGTTCAAAGTCCACGAATTAAAACGTATAATGGGAAGTATAAACACGATGGTTGGAAATAATGAAGCATCGCTTCTCGTTGGGGCAAAATCACCAAATTTGTTTGGTAGAGGAGAAAGACTCCAAGTAGACTATTCATATGGCCATAAAAATTCATCAAACATAAATATCTCTGCCATGAAGCCATTTTACACTGGCCGTCTAAGTAAAGTGTAAGTAAAAACGAGTATTTCAGTTAGCTTTTTGAGGATGAATGTCATTAGTTGATTGTCAAACGTTGTTTTTTATTTTGCAGATTAACAGCAAGCGTGTACAATACTTCGACAGAATTCCCATGGTCAGGGTACAGAGAAAACGACAAAGGCTTTTTATTAGATTTTGCATTCGACTCAAACGAATCTGGTACTTTTAAACACAATCTTCAGTATGAGGGTATTGTAAGAGATTTATCAGCAACTAAACAAGCAACTTTTAAAGTACGAGAACAATGTGGGCCAACGTTAAAGTCATCTCTCAGGCACATCTGTACAGTCGATAAAAGAGATGAAAAAATATTCCCATCTTATGGAACACTTGTCCAATGCACCACGGAGGTAGCTGGACTTGGTGGGAATATTGGCTTTGTCAAAAACGAACTAGCTTTTCAAACTAATTATTCACCCGTTGATAGTCTTGTGAGGATCAAATTTTTTTCAACACTTTTCACAATCATTCTAATAGTGTAAGAATGACTAACGAATCGTTATTCATTTTTCAGACATTTCAATTGGCTGCTCAAACTGGTTTTCTTAGAGGAATTAACAATGACATGCATATTACTATTGCTGACAACTTTTTCCTTGGAGGACCTATGAATGTTAGAGGTTTTGAAATAAGAGGCTGTGGACCCAGAGAGGAAGGATTTTCTCTTGGAGGAAACACATATTGGGCTGCAGCTCTTCATTTTTATAGTCCACTGCCATTTAGACCAGGAAAAAATACTTTCGGCAATCTTTTCAGGTTGCACGGTTTTGTAAATGGAGGCAACGTCAATAATGCCACCATAAAATTAGGTAAGCTATGTTTTCATGTAATCATTAATGTACAGATTTTTGCATTTTGAAGCGAATATTTTTTAGTAATTTTGTAGTGAAGATAACGATGTCAAATTCAACATCAAATAAATAAACTTTTTTTGCAGGTGGAACCTATGAAGAAAACTTGAAGATATTAACAGAGAATGTTCGTTGCACAGCTGGCTGTGGCGTCGCGATGAAGATAGGAAACATAGCAAGAATCGAACTAAACTTTTGTGTTCCCTTAAAACTCTTGAGAACTGATGTATTTCAGCAAGTGCAACTAGGTTTGGGTGTTCAGTATTTATAAAATCGATTTTGTACTTCGATAGACACGGATAAATTGTCGCAATTTGATTCTTACTTAACTTATTTTTGTAAGAGTCATTAAAAACTTTTGTAAATTTATTTATTTGTTAATCCAAATCTTGTTTTTTGTTTTAATTGTATAAAAAAATAACTAAAGTTTCNTTTCGTGTAATGCTCGATTCGATTCTCAAGGCTTTCTAAAAAAAAAAATAATTAAAATAAAAATCATTTGTGATAATTTTTACACTGTATTGTACTGTTTTAGACAACCAATATTTTACCACAGGTGTCCCGCTGCATCAATGGCTTATAAACTTTAGCCTCAGACCCTTGTAATAAGCTATCAGGTTGAAAATTGACATCGCTAATTTCTTTTGCGAATAATGTTCCTAAATCATTTAGCATACATCTTGTCATGGCACACCTAAAAAAATATAGTAATAAAATAAGAATTACAAATTTCATTAAGTTTTGTTATTTAGAGATTTCTCACTTGACAGATGCATTAGTCCATTCTTCTTGTAAATCTTTTATAACTTTTTCAAGTTCAGTTATGTCAGTATACCAATGAGTATTGTCATATTCACAATAAAATAAATTCAAAGGAGTATAATGAGCTAGACTGTACTGTGGTTTGCACGGACACTTTTCAATATCCAAAAGGTCTTGTACAATTTCAGGTGTTTCTTGTTCACGACCAACAAGGAACAAAATCCCTACTATGCAACGAATTTGATGCCATAAGAAAGCATTACTTTTAATTGTTAATGTGCACATGTCATAACCCATGATATCATTACTTTCTTCTTTCGTTGCACAAGTTATTTCAGCTTCGAGTATATTTCTAATATAACTAGTAACACCATTTGCCACATCCATTTTACATAAATTTCTAAAATCATGGCTACCAATCATATATTTTAAAGCAGCATTCATAGCACTTATATTCATGTTTCCTCTGGGAAAAAAATATTTGTAACATCTCCATTTGCAATCAAATCTGGCTGATACATCAGGTGCTGCAGGAGACCATGACAGACAACGAATATTTTTTGGCAGAAGCCTGTTCAAAATTTTACAGTATTTTATTTCTTTCTTAAAATTATCCAAATCATTCTGTTCATTTGGGGTCTGTGAACTTCTAATATCCAAGGATATCACTTGAGAATATGCGCTCACACCTTTGTCTGTTCTACCACAGCGATGGTAGTTAGACGTTTCTCTGCTCTGTATCAAACAACTTTGTATCAATGCATTGAATAAATGATGTTCAATGGTGCTTGTTGTATTTTCTTGAGTAGCAAACCCTTGATATTCCCATCCCAAGTAATAAAGCTTTAAAAGAATGTGCCTCTTGTGACATCTGCAACGTATGTTTTCAATTTAAACTTATCAATAACAAAAGTCTACATTATGAATTATGATACTAACTTTGAAAAATCAAACTTCCTTTTTGAAGAGTGAGATTTTTGTACATCTTTTACGTTTGCATTTTTTTCCATAATCTGTTTTAGTTGGAAATTGTAAGCCTCAAGCTGTAAAATTCTGCTAATTAAGTCCTGCAAATAATAAACAAAGAATTTATCAATGTTCCAGTAAACTTTATAGCTGCATTTTAACTTATATACATTTTTCTCTAAAGCTTCTAATTCCTCTCTGCTTAGCACTTTATTTTTTTTAACGACTTTAATCATTATTTTAACTTTTTTTTAATTACAAAACAAGGTACTTTTCAAAGTAGTTTGCATAAAACATCAATGGGATGTGCGAGGTTAAATGTACATTTATGTTTGACATTTGACATAAAGATCGATCTACAATCGCCTATACGTGTACTAGCATGCTACTAGTACTTAATTTTTGGGTTAAAGATAAATTGTAAAGTTGCCGCAAACAGCACTGTAACAGTAACTATTTATTTTATATGTGTAAGATTAGTTGCGGCTGGTTTATACCTGATTAAATGGCTCTACTATAAGTAGTAATAATTATTTTGATCAGCGCCATCTAGCGTTACAGATTTCCGAACTAAAAAGTGGCCCTAGAATTCTGAAGGAGAGCTTTGGGCAGTTAAGCCCTAGAGCCGATTAATCAGTTATAAACCAGCCGCAACTTATCAAAAAGATACAAAATAAATAGTTAACAATGTCTGTACTATTTGCGGCAAGTTTACAATTTATCTTCCACCCGAATATCGACTTTTTTAATATTTACACTTTCGGGTAATAGGTAAATTGTAAACTTGCCGCAAATAACACAAACAATGTTAACTTTTGATTTTGTATCTCTTAAATGAGTTGCGGCTGGTTTATAAGTAATAAAATGGCTCTAGGGCTAAGCTGCCTAAAGCTCTCCTTCAGAATTTCAGAAGCAATTTTTGGCCAAAAAAATCACGACCGCTAGATGGCGCTGATCCAAATGATTATTACTACT